TGCATTTTTAATTTCATACTCTGAAGAATATGTTATTATTCGGAGTATTTCTATTTATACAAAAATCAAATATTGAACTAGTTATTTATTATTTACAATTAGGTATTTAAAGTTTAGATGATAAGCAAAGTATATTGCAGAATAAACATATTGTAAGTGTACCGTTGTACGGCTTGTACTTATCCATTCCGCAAAACAAAACTTAGAAATGTAAACCCAACCTATTCGTCTGAAATTCAATTTTTGTTGGTTGAAGTATTCTAAAAATATTATGCTCTGGGATAAATAAAATAAAATGTAAGTTATTAAAAAAAAGTTGTTATTTCAAAAACATAATTAATAGTTTTTGAGATAATAATAACGTAATATGATTCATCTGATATTCTGGCATACTATCATATAATATATTATATTTCTACGTTTGTACAGGTATCAAATCCCGGTGATGAATGTCGTTTAAAAATTTCTAAGGACTCTATTTTTTTTTCGTCTATAATAAGCAGTTACGAGTGTATTGTGTATGTGTCTCTAAATTTAGATTTCCAATTCGAGCACTCTTTACATTGCAGTTTCCTATATCGTTGTTGATTTAATATTAATAATAATGATAATAATAATACGCTGCTGTTGGGGAGGGATGCGATACATATAATATTATGCGACGGGACACGCGTGTGCAGACGCCTCAGAAGCGTTGGTCGGCTGAGACGGTCTTTCGGACCACCGGTTTTCGCGCCCTGTTCTTGGCCATGCCGTTCAGGTCGATCGTCTGTCCGTTGGCCATGACATACTGGTTCTTGGTGTAGTCAATGTAACCGTAGGATTTGTCGCTGGCCTGCGCCTCTTGTACTGCGGATGACCCGGCGCCCTGCTGTTGTTGTTGCGGCGCGGTCAGCGGTCGCCTGTCCATATCGCACGGTATGCCCGATTGGTACGAGTACTCGCGCTTGACGCCCTCTGGGTCTATGTAACCGTACTTGCCGCGAGTCACGCAGTCCACGCCGATGGTCTCCTCCTTGAACGTACCGTCATCGTTCTCGAAACCCCAAGTGATGCTACCGTCCGGGTTGTCGTCTCTGTACCGCCTCAACACCTGAAACATGGGTAAAAATGAATGGTATTATATAGGTGTGTTACGTAAAAATAATTTTATACGGTAAAATGTTATAATATTATTCATATCRKCAAAAATCGTATGTAAGGATGCTGGTGAAAAATATATATATCTCATTCAAATACTGCCATAAATAAAGCATTGGTATTGGAGACATGCCCCTCGTTATATGATTGTACACAATAGAATCTATTCACGTTTTGGGAAACTAATTTAACGAAACCAATAAAATTTTTGAACTAGGTTTGCTGAAAGACGATAAAAAATAAAATAATTTTTATCATTAGATTAATTATGATTTAATTAGGTGAATTATCTATTCATTTTTGAAAAATTTGAAGCTCATTTGTAAATTTATTTTAGATCCTGAGCAGATGAGCGAGGAATGTATTGATTTTACCATAATGTGTTTTTTTTT